CCAAAAAAAAAAAAAAAAGTAAGGCACAAAAACCGATGAAATCAGGCCGGTTTTCCCAGATTGTAGGAGTGCCCCAGCCGCATAGCCCAATGCATAGCAGTAGTTGGAGTCGAAGTTTGAAGGTAAACCACATCTACCTTCGTACCTGAGAAAAGAATATCGAAATAATAACTAAGATTAGTATTACATAACTCGATTTTACTCTCTAATCTTCCATAAAAAAAAAAGTTCTTAATTACCCGAAAAAATGAGACTGTCCTCTGAATTCCATTTTGTACGAACCCTTCTTCCTTCTCGATTCCAGTTCAGCTTCCACCATCTCGATCAGCATTTTTTCTGTTTCTATTTTCGCAACCTACACAAAATAATATAAAATTAAAATAAAATATTACTATATAACAATTGAAGATGATGACTTACTATAATCGATATATACCTGCACGTTTCCATGTGGATCTCTTTCGAGTAGCAATTGCTCTTGAATGGCTTTCGGAAGAAAATCGAACAGCTGGCGAGATTGTTCACCGAGCTTACTTTTCCAAGCTCCACCTTCATCAACAGTACCATTTGCCAGGATTTCATTAAGCTCCGAAATTAATTGTTGCACCTTTAACAAGAACATAATGGGTAAAATAAATACAGATAAAAAAAAAAGTTACAGCGTATTGAATTTGATATGGGATTATAATTTATAAACCTCTGGTATGAAGTCAATTAAGCCTTCTGGTATAAGTATAACTCCATAGTTGTAACCAAGTTCAGCACGTTTGCAAATCACGTCTGTAATGTAATCCGTGACGTTTTTCAGTGTCTGTTTCTTAGCAGCGACCTACAAAAAAATTTTACACGTGGTAAATGTTAAAATAACTATACAATTATTCTTAAAATGGATATAGGAAATGACTCGCTAAAGTAATTATGAAATAATATAACGAAATTGGAAGATAATATCGTTGAGGATATAATATATTACCTCTTCACCGATAATAGTTATATTAGGATGAGTCTGCAAACTGCACTCGAGTGTTATGTGAGAAGCAGCTCTGCCCATAAGCCTCACAACTATGAGGTAAAATGGTAAATAGCTCTCGTCAAACAAAATACACAACAGCTTATTAAGTTGAAAATCAGAATGAAGAAAAAATATGCAACTGTCATTCATACTTACAGTGATAATATTTTCCAGTCGAGCGAGCATCTATCATGACATTTCCAATCATTTCAGCATATATCTGCAATTTTTTGAAACTAAAGCTACTAAGTATTTCGAGCTTTTGAAAAAAAAAAGTAAAGAAAAGAGAATCGAAGGAGAGAAATCAAATGAGAAAGAAACATGGAAAAATAAAAAGTACAAAATCACGACACTTTGGTTAAGAGAAATTCACTCATGTGCGGTGATAAAACAAAACATGGAATTATTATAAACAAGAAGGAAAAACTTAATGATCTTAAAATATTGTATCTTAATCATTAATGAACAAATTGAATCTATTTCAATGCATGTCAAGAACAAATAACTACAACAAGATAAAGGGCACCTTGCATGCTGTGTCGAATCCAAAACTTATCGGCACTTCTTTGGATTTTAAGTCGCCATCAATAGTCTTAGGGCATCCAATGACTTTGGTTTTCATGTTCTTTGCCCTGAAAAAAGAAAACGTGCAACCGTGAAAATATTTAGGCACGGAGAGATAGGAATTAAAAACCAAATTTAAAGATCAGATAAGAAAATCCTTTTTACCTAAAATTCTCAGCAAGAAGACAGGCATTAGTGTTGGAATCATCTCCTCCTATGACAACAAGTCCATCTAAATCGAGCTTCTTTGCCGTCTCTTCAGCTTGCTTGAACTGAAGTCCACATAATATAACAGTAGTTACCATATGAAAAAACAAATTGCTACATAAATGCATCTCTTTCTGTAATACTAGTAAGGTTGAAAAACCAGTTACCCACAGAGAAATTGATTATGAACAAAAGAATATGACGTGACAAATGCATTTTCTGGTCTGGTGGTTCGAATGGGATAAAAATAAATAAATAAAAAAAGCTAACTTTTACTTGCATTATGAAATAATTGTAACTTACTTGTTCAGGGGTCTCTATCTTGTCTCTCCCACTACAGATCATGTCAAAGCCACCCTGTGAGGAGAATAACGTGTTATCAACGAAAGTGAAGAAAGTTACATTCATGAATGGCCAAATTAAAATAATGAAATGAAAGTAATAGCAACGGCAATGCCAATACGAGGTGACTAAACTATATACAACTTTTCAGTGGATAAAATAATTATCGTGCAACATAAAACTTTGAAATTCCCAAGCCTTTCCATAAATATGCATCAGTATGATTCACTTTGACATCAAAATGTAAAAATAAATCTAGAGATAGCATGACGATAGGAAAAAAAAACAAGAGCTATAATAATCATAGTTCATCTAAAGATAAACAAGATCATAATATTTATCAAACTATCATAATGTGATAAGGAAAAAAATTGCAAGATTTGACGGTATCATTAGCGAAATAAATGATTTTCATCTTTTATCCAGAAACGAAACCCTGAATCAGTTGTCTAGGAAAAAACTTATCCACCAAAATTTGTCTTTTGTCAAAATTTTACAAGCCAAAAAACAATGGAGAAATCTCACTTGGTTCCTGTATGGATGAAC